TCCCACAGTTTTGTACAAGGCTTACAACTGACCGGGGGGACCGGGATTGCTAACCAAGTCCATGCCTCAGCCCTCTAGGGCCCCTCTCTAGCTGCTGCTGCTGCTTGCTGCTGCTGGTCAGCGGCGCATGGTCATCATCAATGCCGCTGCTGCTACCGCTGCTGCTGCTGCTGCTGCTGCGTGGTCTCAAAATAATAAGATGACATCCAACACTTCTTGCGAGCGGCAGGCAGAAAGCGCAGCCGCAGTCGTAGTTCAGACCTTAACCTTACCCCATGCGCCGGTGGTGGTGGTGCCCCTACCTCTGCCTCTGCCTCTGCGCCTCTGCCTTTGGCTCGCTCTCTACCCCCTTCAAGCCGGCCGCAGTCCGTTCCAAATATTTTTATATAAAAAATCGCTTTTCTGCTGCCGATTCGCTCGACGCTCGCATAATAAAACTTTTTCTGCATGCTTTTAATTTCATTCCCCAGATACCAGAGGCAGCAAAAGCATCAGCACCACCACCACCGGCACCACCAACAACAACGACGACGATGTCAGGGGCAGCGACGCAGACAGCGGCGCACTTGGCCACACAAAGGATCGGCCTTAAGATCGTCGCGAGCACGAGAAAAGGACGCAAGGACTTGTCTCCATTCAAATGAATGTAGGTAGAGGTACTCGAATGTACCTGAACCTCTTGGCAACGACGGCCACAAAAGGATGGACATTGTCCAGTGACCAAAACTTATTGAGCACTGATGATAATTTCAGCTCTTAGCTGTTCTTGCTGTTGTTGCTGTTGTTGCTGTTGTTGCTACCGTGTTTGCGCTTGTGCTTGTGCCGGTGGTGGTAGTGGTAGTGACAGCGGTAGTGGTCGTTGCTGTCTTGGCAGCTCTTTATCGCCCTAGAGATACGCGATAGAGTTTTGCGTGCTACTGGGCAAATAAATGTTAGGGGCACCGTACGAATAAAAGAATGGAGCAGGTCTTAGAGACGATGTGGTTCGATCAGTTAACAAAATAAACTTCGAGTACGGCAGATTGAAAATTGAAATTTCGAACCTGATTCGAAGAGTATCAACTCGAAACGTGACTAGAACCCTTAGATATATTTTATTCTATATAAATCTAAGCATAATCTAGTTTAAGAGTTCCAGAATTTGTATAATAAATTCAAATATTTTATATAAAATAATTTAAGCCCGAACCGAATTTTATTATTATTTTTTTGAATGTGATAAAAATGTTGTTAGTTATTCATACCATGTGTAAGAGTTAGTGCAGCTGGGCTAAGTTCATTCGGGTTCGCTGGCCGTGCTTAATGTTGTTTGCCTAAGTTCTTAAAGCACAGGAAGTAGATGATCAGCAGCAAAGCAGAGAAAGAGAGAGAGAGAGAGCTATAAACCATGGATTGAAGAAAGAAACTCAATGCGACATTTGCATTTTTAATGCAGACCAACAAATAAATCTGCGTTTTTTTTCGAGTTGATTTCGATTTTTTGCGACTGGTTCGTATCTTTCACAATTTTTTCTTCTATTTTTTCAAACGCGTGTTTTAAAATATGTTCACGTTTTTTGTGCACGGCCATCTATAACCATTGTGTGTGCGATACGGTGTCACCTTCGAGCGGAGCGGAGCAGAAGCAGGAGCCGCTGACCAATGCTGACCAGACAAGACAAAACACACACACACACACACAATTAAAAAAAAAAGCGAAGGATGGAAAAAAAAAATCAAGGAAAAAGCTAAGCAGAAAAGCACACAGAGCGCGATATCCTTTTGTGATATATGAGTAAGTTGTACCTGAAGGATGCGCCGCCGTCACTGAGCCGTTGTGCACACACAGCCATGAAAAGGAGGCTGCTGCAAGGCGATCGAGGCCGAGCCAGAGGCAGAGGTAGGGCCAGGGGTAGGGCGGTCAGACAAGCTGCATTCGCGAATCTGTGCCTCTTGGAGTTTATCATTCGATATCGTGCATAGACTGTGATTATTGCAAAGAGGTATATGCGGCATGGAATGGAATGGAAGCGGATGTGGCTGAGGCATGGCCCAGCGCACCCAGGGAGCAGCAGCCCTTGGCCACCACACCAGCAGCTTTGACCAAGGCCCGAGAGCACCCCTCGCTTGTGTATGGGGTGGTGTTGATCCTTTGTTTTTCAGCCTATGGCTGGTGGGAAAATTTATCTAAATTGTTGATGGCGTTTTTTTTTTCGTATAAAAAGTTTTTTTTTTTGTATATGTATATATAAAATTTTGCTAAAAAGGATTTCGTATTCTTAGTTTTTTGTTGTTTTTTGTCATATTGTGGAATGTTTTGTCGTCACTTTTTTCAAAGATGATGCGCAAGAGCAAATGGCCCAAAGTCCATAAATTAAGCCAGGGCAAAACTGACAGCGTACGAAGCCAAGGATCAGCGTCGAATATATAGAACAACAACAACAACAACAACAACGGGAAATAAAAATGAAATTGGATGAAGGTGTTAAAACACAAAGGCGCCGTTGTGTGCCAGCTGATGGTATTGTTTGATTGCCTCTGTGTGTGTGTGTGTATGTGTGTGCCAAGTCCCATGAGCAGGAGCAGGAGCAACGCCACAAGCATAAGCCAGCGCAACAACGAAAGGATAATACTCTAAGCGAGAAAGTAAACATTTTTAGCCAATTAAATGTCAAAGGCAGCCACTTGACAGCCACCGCCGCCGCCGTCGCCGCCGCCGCCAACAGCGTGAAAACTTCAGTTGCCAGGCAGCAAAGTCAACAGCGGGAAAGCTGCGCGACGTCAACGGCAGCTGAAAATTGCGGGCGCTTTTCACACGCCACCAACAACGCCGAAGGGTTGGCAATTATTTTTAACGAACTTTGCCCCGCCGCTGAAGTGCATCAATACGAAGAGTAAATGGGCTGCCCTTCGAATGGCAATCGGTTTGCCAAATATTGCGCATACGACGCGGTGCTTGCAGCGCAGCCGAAGATCCATTTGTAAGATTCTGCAGAAAGCAGGCCACAGCTGCGATCGGCGCGCATAAATCAGAGCCGTTGCAGCTGCCACAATCAAAGCATTAAATCAATTTTAACTTGGCCTACATTTTGCTCATACTCGAACCCTTAGCTCGAACCCCTTGCAACGGCAGCGCGGCAACTGCAACTGCAGGCTGCACATGGCGCCGTTTGCGAGTGAGAAAAGAAGAAAAAACAAAAAACCTAAATCTGTCCACATGGCGAAGCACTCAACGTAGTTCACATATTCAGCTTAGGCCTTTGTTCCTCTTCACGTTTTTTTGGGTCACTTCTTACATGGCTAAAACGCAAAGCGCGTTTGCAGCAACGAAAAAAGTTTCACCTATATATTTAGAGGTGTTACATAGTGGAGCTGTGCTGTGTAGCTGGGTGTAACTGTAGAATACTTGACGGAGCTTGACGGGGCTTAAATATAACTTGTTTAATGGTCATTTTTGTTTTTATTTTAAAATTTTAAGTTCTTGGACGGAACTTATTTATATCAAAACTCAATTTAATAGATCTGAAGTTTTATGGCATTAAAATTGGTCAACGGCCATCTTTTTATTTAATATATATTCTTCTATTATGATTATGACTATAATATTTTTCCTCTACTTTAAATTCATTACTAATTATTTATTAAAAATTTAGTGTAATATAATAATTATAAAAGCTTCTGCCTAATTTTTTTAAACCTAATTTAATATTAATTTAAAAGCTCATTAATTTAATTTAATTAATCATTCTAAAAGCTTATAGTAATTGTCATAATATTTTCTGTAAGCCTTATGGGAATTAGGCTAATGGTAATTATGTATATTGCTCTAGGTGCCTCTTGGATCTACCTCAAGTTCATCAATATTCATATACTTAAAATTTATTTTAATACAATAGCTCGAAAAGATTATTATTATTATTGTTATTATAATTATTTTTATTATTGTAATTATAATTATTTTTATTATTGTTATTATTATTATTATTGGTTTTATTATTATTAAATTTTTTGTATTATTATTATTTATCTCAATGTTTACTTTAAACTTGGTTAATGTTTATTGCCTCTACTTCAACTTTATCAATGTTTTCCTTAAACTCGGTAATTTGCTATAAATTTCCATTTTGGTATTTTGTCGAGCGAAGATTAATCGAAATAAGATCTGAATGTGCATGCCACCCAGAAGCTATTGACATTATCTCTTGCATGTTGCATGTGGAGCACCGTATGGGTGGCGGCATTGGGGGTAGCGCCAAAAGTTGCCTGTGCCACGTCGCAACCAGAGAGGCTTTTCTCTTCATTTCTGGCCTCTCTGCTGCTTCCTGCCAGCAGCATATTACATAGCTATTTACTTAACCCATTAATTCTGCAGTGCCAGCAGTCGAAAAAAAATGCAGAAAAAATGAAATTGTAAAGGCAGCAAAGGTGCTGACATCGCGCTGCCGCTTGCAGCGGAACAGGTCGAGGCGCTTGCGGCACAGCCAGGGAGCCCCAGCAGAACGTGCAAAAGGCGCGAAGAGTTTTATGTACACACTTTTTTATGCACACATACATACATATATATAGATATGAAGGTGTACAACCGGCTGGACCTACACCAACATGTGTGCAACAGCATGGTGCAGGCAGTTGCTGATGTTGCACAGTTGCTCTATGGACGGGCGCGCCGAGCTTAAAGAGCAGTGCAGCAGACGGCAGAGTGTCTCCTGGTACAAAAAGTCCTTGAAGTCCATGTGTCTCGCCGACAAGCTAACCTCAAAATGAATGCTCCCCCCTCCACCTCCTGGCCCGCGCACAGGATGTATGGGCTGTGTGGACCGGGTTAGAGCTAATGAAAACATTTCCGCAACCTGCGCGACGAGCCAAAGTGTCTTAGTGAAGTTTTCACTTAACAGAGCGTCATATTAAGTGTGTGGAAAAAACAATTTGCAGCCAGATGGAGCAGATGGAGCACCGCTGCCATCACCTCTCTCGGAGCACACAGGCCTAGAGTATGAATTAATTGAATTGCTTGCACTTACCGCCATGTTGACCCATGGAGCCGCTCCGTGAGGCGTATATCTCGGTGTTGTAGGCACGATACGATTCACGTGCAATATTATGCGCAACTGCAAGTAAAGAATGCGAAAAATATATAATGAAAAATTATATATATATTTATAGTAGATCAATCAAGGCTGAGCATCTTCTATTAGCCATTTTCTAGCTAGCTTAATATGATTAAATATCAATTAAGGACAGATTTCATATACACAGTAGCCAGATGCAAGCCACACACACACACAAGCAGCCATACAACCCATGCAACCACACACACACACACACACGCTTGCTAAACACTCATAAATGCAAGGGGTAGGCCTATAAAAAGCGCTTGGCTGCAACTTCATATGCGAAGAAGGACGAGAACGAAGTTACTGGCAAGCATGACAGCGTGTTTCGGTGTGAATGTGTGTGTGTGTGTGTGTGTGTGTTTGTGTGTGAGTGTGGGTACAGTATGTACCAAGCGGTGCATTGCTGTTCCTGGCACAGCTCGACTCCTTTTAGCTTTTACTTAACGTTTTGCATTGTATTTTTTTATTATGCTTATACATTTCTATGCAAGCGCGCATGTGTGTGTGTGTGTGTGTGTGTGTGTGTGACCGGAAACTGCCATTTAAAGTGCATTTTAAGAGGACGATTGCGTCGCGGGGCTGTAGTAGCGTGTGCTCGTCCGAGCGCTGCTCGACTTGGTTGCTTCACTTCACTTGTGTGTTAAGTGAAAAGAAGAACTTTGTCCTAACAGCTCCTCGCCGCCTGCTGCTGTCCCCGTTGTCCCCGTTGTCCCTTTGTGTTATTGTTTTGTTGCTGCTCCTGCTGCTCCAACTTTAGCCACGGCCGACGTGTTTTCTTGCGCCAAGCATTTGTTATCGTATGCAAGCGACTTCACTTCAACGGTGCCTCTCCATCTGCCTGCCCGCTCGACTGTCCCACTATCCGACTCTGTCTGGCTACCAAACACGTGTAATCCAACTCCTTTTAATTACATTCAACACCCTTCGGAGCCCCCCCTCGCGCGCTAAAGGTGTCCCGAGGCCAGTTGCTTAGCTGCAATCCTTAACCTTCCCTCCAAATATCGATTTTCAATTTAAGTCTTCTGTCCCCTGGCTCGAACAAGGTGTTAAAACAATTTGTAAAGGTGCCAGCCACAGGAGATGTGCAAAGCAAAGAAGAAGAAGAAGAAGCAGCAGAAGAAGAGGACAAGTGCAGTCAATTGCTAATAATATCGAATTAAGGGATCATATTTGCCCGCCAACCAACGCACAACTGCAACAAAATGCTGCACACTGCAACGCCAGAGTGCATCACGAGTGCCAGCACGGCTTAAGGTACAGTCAACACTCAATGCACCGAAATCATTTGGACTATATTGAAATACTCGAGTTATGCTCACGAATGCAAATCTCTAAGTCATAGCAGCTGCTTCTGGCACGCCCCCGTCGTCCTGAGCCCGCATCGCTTGGCTTGGCTTGGCTTGGCTTGGCCTGAGCTTGGAGCAAGAGCAACAGCAAAAGCAGAGAGCATAAACATTAAAGTATGTTCACACTCGAGTTAGTTTTAAAAATCGCTTTGTGCTATTTACTTTTTGCTGTTTGCCAGCCAGCCCATACAACAATTCCAGAGGAATAGGTCAGTACGGTGCGCTGGGGTGAGGGTGTCCGTGTGTGTGTGTGTTAAAACAAAATGTAAATGTAAAGAGTGGCAAACAGGACTTGTAGGTAAGCACATTATGTGCATATAATGAGCATATAATGAGTACATAATATTAAGTGCAATGGCTTCCTCGCACGGCTCAACCCTCGCTGAATGCATTTGCCCTCGCCGGGGTTCAATGACAGCGCAGAAGGTCGAACATGCACATGAGCTAGAAGAAGCGGGCATAGAGCCACAGTCGGAGGCCAAGGGATGCTCGCTCTAAGCAAAAATTATCCTTTTGGCATGCAGGATATCGCTGATATATGACTTCGATTTCGCTAGAGCACAAGGCACGCCAACTGAGTGAGGAGCAGACACAGAGAGCACTTGGTGATGCATATCTCAAGAGGCGACACCAGTTGCCGGCAGCTGCAGCTGCCAGGATACAAAAGTATCTCATAGATAAAAGTTAATGTGCGCGCTAGCAACTGCATCCAGATGGCGGCGATGACCATAGAGCCCCTCGCCAAGGCATCATCATCAGCAGCAGGCTCCCTCTATGCCAGGAGCTGGCGATGGAAATATTGTTCGCGTAACTTCCGCTGCAAGTTTCACGGATTTGCTGTATTTTGCATTATGGTTTATTCATTCTGCAATTTGTGTTTGTGTTTGTGCTTGTGTTTGTGTTTAGCATGATGTTGTGCCTGGCCGTCGTTGACCAGAGGAAATCTTTTGTAATCGTGCGATAACCCCGCAGCAGCGAACTTGAAACTCAACCCTTAAACGGAAAGCAGAAAGTTGAAAAACAATGCCGAATGCAATGCAATTGCATGTCCAGCTTAGCAGGATGCCTGCCAGGCAGCTAAACAGCGCGGCAGAGCGCGGCACAGCTTTAGTACAGCCGGGCAGGTCCTTCGCGGCAATTAGAACACGGCCGGGCAGGCAGCTCAGCCAACGAGGCCTTGTTGCTGTTCTTGTTGTTGTTTATTTACATATTAAAAAATGGCATTATGTTCCTCTGAATAATGGCAGAAGGAACGGCGATGCAATGGAGGCGACTTCGCTTGCATTGCTTTTGTGCGATATGCGAGAATCCTTTTCGATATCTTTTGTATTGCAACGCATAGCGAATGGCGGGGATTGGACATCCATTGTATCCAGGCAGCAGAGAAAGACAAACAGGAAGCGGGATAGGCAAGCTATGAAATTAATACGCATAAATTACATGCCCAGCCAGCAAACAAAGAAAGAAATGACCATGGGAAAGCAAAGCTGCCCATGAAGTGCAGCTGAAGATAATTGCATTCCGAGTTAAAGGCATTGAAGGAGCGCAACGGAATGCAAATTTCTGCATTTTCTTAAAATGCATAACTCATAGCCGTCAGTTGTCGTAGCTCGAGAAATCGAGAATATTCGTCTTATTTCCTTGAGCTGACAAAATCGAATCGAAAGTGCCAAATAATTGCAGTGCACAAAAAGTAAAGGAAAACAAATGAGAAATTAGAAAATTGAGAATTCTAGTCCGCTTGGGGTACACAAAAGTAATTTCAAAGCTGCTAAAGGCGTTGGAGGAGTTCGAGCAGGGGCAGGCAAATGACCAGCACAAGTGCGAACTACGGAGGACGAACGCGGAGTCGACTTTGTTGCTTGTCAGGTCATTCGTTTGGCACTCTTGTGCTTGCTTGGGTAACTTTGGCTATTGTCGTAGGTCCTTGAAAGGGGAGAGAGCGCGCGCACAAGTCTTGAGCTCAGTCGGGCACAACGCCTCGTCGCCACTTGCCGCCCGCGGGCCCAAAAGCCAACTGTAAACTGCAAAATGCAGCAGTCACAAACTGTGCGGCCTGCGGCTATTTAGGAACCTGCAGCAAGGACCGAAGCCATATGCGACAAGGACAACAATTGAATTACACAACAAGAACTATTTGCTGCTGCTAGTGTGTTCCCGCTCTCTCTCTCTCTCTCTCTCTCTCTCTCTCTCTCTCTCTCTCTCTCTCTCTCTCTGTCCTCGTTGCAAATAAAAGTTAGCAATGACTTGAAACAAGTCGAGCTGCTGCCCTGCCGCCGCCAGACGAGGCAGGAGCCACAACAGCGAGGACACATGTCAGCCAGCCAGGACTCTCAAGTGGTCCTCGCCGGCCAGAGGACATGTTTTCTAAAACGGAAATTAGGTGACAGCAGCCCCAGACGGTAAATGAGACACGGACTGGTTCAGGTATTTCGACGTCTTCGATACAGTGGGGTAGAAACTAGAAATCTCCAACTGAAATGTTTATATATTGGATTGAAAATATAGTACATATATGTTAGTCTAAGAAATGCAAATATATTTATATAAGCCATATAAATATATATACAGTAGAGTCCGGTTATAACGACTCCGCTTAAAGTCTCAGTACGATTATTGCGATGCAAATTCTGGTTCCTAGAGGAAACGTACAACTTTTATGGTTATAGCGCATTTCGGATTTTACTGTATATACAACTCAAAGTCTATATAAACCATATATGTAAACTATGTAAAATATAAACTATATAAAATATATAATGTATAACTGTATAAGCTACATGACCTATAAAACCTATACAAACTATTTAGATAAATTTTATACACTAATAAAATCTCATATATGCAAATGTAATCTAAAATTTCTAGTCTAATTTTGTTCTCTTCTGATTCGCATGGGCTCCACAGTGCGAGAAGATCTTGGGTCAATTTTAATTGCTGCTTTGTGTGTTTGAGATTGTGTATTAGTTGTTGGCCTGTCAGAGCTTTTTATTGCTGCTCAAATTACTTTGATGTTGCTGCTGTGTCCAGGGGGCAGGGCCATAATGCTGATAAATGCCGACAGGCTCTGTGATGCGTACTCTGAATAAAGATTGATTCGCTGGCCCCAACAGCAGGAGTCGCAGAGCAGCCGTAACTGCAGCAGCCTTGCCAACAACGGAAGCGCAGCGCCGAGACCGTATAAAAAGTATCTAACGGATGCAATAGAGCGAGCCCTCCAGTTATGCTCGTGAAAGATGGAGCAGGAGGCGCACCAGCAGGGGCCGCAGGTCGAGCTGTGGGTTGGAGGCGTGCAATGCAATTAACGCTGTTCGTTTGCCACGATAACATTTCACAATACAAAAGGCAAAAGCAACTGCAGAGGCCCAGAGTCTAGCGCTTGAATGTGTAGCTGTATCTGTGAGTGGGTCGACGGCGTTGTATCTCTCTATAACTCTCAGACTGTCTGGCAGAGCGCGCGCGAGAGTCGCGTGTGCAATGCTGCAAAATGTTTAAATTCGCAATTCTTTTTCACTTTTTGCTGCTGCTGCTGCTGTTGCTGCTGCTGCTGCTGCTGGTGATGTTGGTTTGGGTTATCGTCTGGCAACGGCAATCATAACAGCCCGAGGAGCCGAAACCGAATACGAGAGGCCGAGACCGAGCCACAACATTGTTGGAGCAAGTGCGACGGCTGCGGCGGCGGCGGCGGCATGGGGGCTGCGCAAGAAGACGACGCCGGCAGCAGGAGGAGTCAGCGGCGGCAACAGCCTGGCTGGGGGTGCTCGGGAGGAACAGGGCAGGCGAGGTAAGCAGGCAGCCAGCCAGGCAGCGGCGGCGGCGGCGGCAATAGCGACAACGACAACGTTGTGGATTTTGATTCTGGGTCATTCACCCTTGACAAAAAAAATTTTGCGCTGTGTTAGGCCGCTTTTGTATGTGTGTATGTTGTTTGCTGCTGCTGCTGCTGTTGTTGTTGTTATTGCTGGCTGGGATGGAAGTGCTTTGCCATTATTATTGTTGCTGTTGCTGCTGCTGCTGCTTCTGTACACTCATTGCTGCTGCTGCTGCTTCTGCTGCTGGCGAGATTGGCGATGCTGTGACGCCCAGCACGTACAGGCACATCCCAATTTTGGGGCTATGTTTTGCTTTTTGGAAGCCAATGCCAAAAAAACAAGAAAACGAATGAAAAATAAAAGAAAAATGCAATCCAAAGATCGCAGACATGTCACAGCGCGCACTTTGCATATGTCCAAATCTATAGCCATGTCCATGTCTAACCGCTGCAGCTTTTTCTTGTTCCCTTTTATATTATTTTCTGTTTGATTTTGTTTAAATTGTGGCCTTTATTTTCTCCCGTCTGGTTATTAGCATGCAAAAAAAGCATTCGATTTTGTTTCTTCTTGTTTTCCCTTTGTTGCTTTTATTGCCCGTGGTTTTTTGAACTTGCGCAAAGATTTCAATGAATGCGCAATATACTTTATTTGATGTTTTTGTTGCTCATTTTCAACGCGCTTGATAAAATATTATCAACATTTCATTTAGCTTAGTTACTCATTTAAGCAACGGCTCTTCAAATAAACGTTTAAAAAAAATTAATCCATAAAATTTATAAATAACTTGAATATTTCTGTTTTACTCTTTTTGTATTTATTAATATTTCAACATTTTGGCAGCGCATTTTCGTATCAAGTAAATTCCAATTTGTTATTTATTAAAATTAATTAATATTTTAAATTGCTTGCAGGCATTAGATACAGCTCGTGAATCAATGGGTAGTTTTTTAACTTTATTTGTTGGAAACTGTTTTAATGCTATTGGCACATTCTCAAATGAAAGTTTAATCTCGTTGAGCTTAACTGCTATCGCTGCACAGATGCGTCCGAAAAGCTTCAAAAATAAACTTCTGTCGCAACGCAATTGCCGTTGCCATTTAGGACATGGCAGCAGCAGCAGCAGCAAAAGCAGCAGCAGCAGCGGCAGCAGAAACAACAACAATCAATTACTGGCAACAATAGCAACAACTCAGGCGAAGCAGAATACTAAAACAGAACCGAAAGCAAAACAAGTGCAAAATAACTGCAACATTTTTTGGGGCAGTTGCAGTATTTCTGTTTTGTCGATTCCCACGTGGAAAATAAAACAATGCGAGCGCCGCGTAGATTTATCTGCATTACGAGGTGCGGCAGCAGGATAAACAGTGCCTACCGTACACACACACACACACACACACACACAC